AGTAGTAGTAGTAGTAGTAAGAATAGGAGTAGGAGTAGGAGTAGGAGCAGGAGCAGCAGTAGCAGTAGCAGTAGCGCTGGAAGTGGCAGTGGCAGTAGGAGCAGTAGTAGTAGTAGTAGTAGTAGTAGTAGTAGCAGTAGTAGTAGCAGCAGATTTGTTGCGCCGGCCATGCGGTATTAAGGCATGGAAGCTCAAGTGACTCATGTCATCTCAAAATCTCATCATGTCATGTCCATTGCTCACATGTCTGAGATTCACCCACTGCGACAAGCTACGCTCATCGTGATCTGCTTATTGACATGTCATCACTGAAGAAAGAGCAAACTCAGAGGGGCTACCAATACATGAACGGTCTCGGTGGCCCCTGGCCCCTGGGAAACCCACTAATCAATGTATTGGGTCCCATGCGGGGGGTGGGGGGGGAGTCAATGCTTTACCAGTAACAACCCTTGGGGACTAGTGCTACTGCTGCCGGTGCTGGTACTGCTGCTACTAGTGCTACTACAGCTCCGAAAAATCATGGCTACAACTGCTACGACCACTGCTATCACTACTGCCCCTGCTACTACTATCACTACCACTACGACGACCAAGACTTCTACCACGACAACTACGACTACGACGAGGGGCAGGAGCATGACGACTTTTAGAACTGCTGCCACTACTGCGGGTACAATTGCAACAACTACTCGTGAGGACTTTACGGTGACCATCTGTGAAGTTGCCATTTCACACTTATAAATTCTTGTCCGTGCCGGTTCCTGCTACGGCTGTGCACTCTGGCGAGCTGGGATGTCGGCCTGAATTCTGCCACCGGAAACTGCAATGCCTGGGAAGCAAAGACAGGAAACATCGTCGAACAAAACATGCCATAAAATGTCATAAACGCATAGCAGCAAAATAATATCATGGCTTCCTAGCAGGGATAGTAGAGACGACTACGACTATCACTGATAAAGCCAACATGCCTCATCAAACTAAGACAGAATGGAGACTATAATCTGGAAGGTTGTCACCACTGGTGCTGGTACGGAGTAGCTGGTATCGGTACTTAAAGCGGGAGGGTCCGACTTGTGGTGCTGGTCAGGAAACTTAAGATGTGAATGGGGCTTGTGCCTGACACTAAAGTGGCAACAATACAAACTTGAAGGCTGCCTAGACTCCGAAACTCAAGGGGCCTAATATTTCTCTTCCTGGCCAGACTGGGATGAACGTAGCCTCTCAGCTTCAATATCACCTAATTCTGAACCAACTGCGACCATCTGCTTCAATACTTTCGGCGGGAAAGCATCCGGCGGCCTGGGCCTGCCCAAACCCAAGGCCCGCACGCTGAAAGGCCGCTTCCCAGCCAGAAGAGCAACTGCTGCGCCTGCACATGCCAGAGCTGATATCGGGATTAAGGAGACGCTGATGACGACAGGAAGAGAATGAGAAGAGTGAGCGGAAGCATCGCTGGGGTTCGGTCAGGGGGTTCTCTGCACAAGGCCGGTGCATCGCTTGTCGAAGTGCCGCGTCCCGATTTTACTGGTAGCATGGGTTCCGGCTATAGTGGAACCGAGAACTGCTTCAATAAAGGCTTACGTATCTCGCGTCACCTGCGCAAACCTGCTGCAATCGAAACGCCCACCTCTTTGAAGACATAAAAAGCTTAGCCGAGACATGAGAGGGCGCCTCGTAGGTACCCAGCTTTCGAACCAGCAACTTCCGGCTCTTAGTCTTAGTCTTATTTGGGTACTTAATTAAATCCCTGCACCAATCCCTTTCGACTGCACGAGTGCATATATGATGTGATGGGCCGCGCCTCACGTAGATGAGCAGGTTGGCAGAGCCGACGGCGATGGCCACCCTGCAGTGCATCCGACCACATGCTCGAGGAGTTCTGAAACAACAACGGGTTAGAACTGGAGCCAACTTGCTCCGCGGAGCCTAGTGGGTGAGGCAGAACAAGCATCATTACCATGCAGCTCTCCAGCCCAAAGGCTCTAGCAAGAGATGACAGATGATCCGATGCACAACCTCCGAATCCCAAATCCTGATCCACGTACTGGACAATCCACCGCCAAACTTCTTTCAAGAAGCCCCAACACCACTCAAATGAGAGCTCATGTCTTGTTCTACTCACACCCGCAAGCAAACAATCGCCGTCACCACAACGCCGGGTGTCCGGCAGCGATCCGCCGACTTGCTCCCAGGCCTCCACGGTGGTGGAGCCTGCCACCGACCGGCAAAATGAGGTGGGGGGGGCTCCGAGAGACTCGACATCAAGATGATTCTTGACTGCAAGATTCCTGGCGAAATCTGCTGCCTGCCCCGTGTAACATGTGTTGTAGGATCCTTGCCGATATGTCTGTAGCCGAAAGGCCATGGTGGCCGAGACTGTGGGCCGTTGTCGAACTTTGCAAGAACTAATGTTTGCTGACCGCGTCTCCTATAAGGGTTTTGAGGCACATTATGCTATATAGGCTATATATAACAATAACAACAATAACAATAATAGCAATAACAACAATAAGAATAGTTGTATCTCACTGATTGACCTTCGAGCCTCGGAGTTCTGGAGATGACTCGACCGGGCTGCAAACATGTTCTGCTGCATGGCTCGAGTGAGGACTTCAGGCTACAGGCCCAAACTCTAAATCCCAATCTAGTAGTCATAAAGGGACCCCATTGAATCCCAATATAGTAGTTATAAAGGGGCCCCGTTGAATCCCAATATAGTAGTCATAAAGGGACCCCACTGTTCTGTTATAGTACCCTTGTAGGGCCCCTGGTTCCAGCGCGCAGCCCTTGGCCACAACGTGGGGCGAAGAGATGAGCGCGAGGAGTCCATGAGCTGTGGAGATTCCCGCTTCAGTGGGTTAGGGTTTAGGGTTTAGGGTTTAGGGTTTAGGGTTCAGGGTTTAGGGTTTAGAGTGCAAGCCCAAGTATACACCAGATGGGGGTTTCAGAAAATGGGGGACCCTAATATAGTACCCTAAATAGTAGGATCCTTATAATACATGCCCGGTAATAAAGTTTCGTCGCATCCGCTTAGAAACACTACGCGGAGTACGCGGAGTACAGCAGGTGACGAATACACTAGCCTGGCTAGCGGAGGAATTATCACACCCGAACGAAATTATACTATTACAATTGTACCGGGCGGAGGACTTCTGGAGGAGTCTAGGGGGGAAAGGGGGTTTGGATAGGTTTGTTGTAAATGAACAACATAGAGTGCGACGGACTTTCGGACCGGCGCAGTAGGCTTTCCCTGCACAAAAAATCGCTCGCGAGGAAATTTCCTGCCGGAGACGCTGAAGGGAAGCCCGCCACTCCGCCAGGAACCCGCGCAGCAGCTCTGACTCCAGACCGCGGCCAAGGCCTGGCCCAGAACGACAGCAGAATTCTTTAGGGCTTTATAGGGGTTTCGACTCACACACTCGCAAAGCAGGCATGGCGATAACCTCGGACACTTATAGGGGTTTAGGGTTTTGCGGGTTTCGACTCTCACACTCGCACAAGGCCGGCAAGGCTCCGCATGGTTCGGTCTCGCGGGTTTGGGGTTTTGGGTTTGGGGTTTTGGTTGCACGTCGGCCACCTCGTAGCAAGAGGACGCCCTTGCAGACCAATTGCCACCGACCCCACCAGCTGTGGAAGGTGCGGCTCTTGAGGGACCTGATTTTGCATGAAGACGACTTTGTCCTACAACCTCAAGCAAGCCTTCCAAGAGTACTCAGTCACTTTGCACAGTTGACATGGCTCAAACAAGCCTCTGCAGAAGGCTGGACCAAGTACAGAAACAGGACCACTTGGAAAGCCCTTCAGTAAGTCGAAGCTAAAGCTTAAAGCTTTGGCCGGGAGGCAAGTCCAGAATGATCTGTGCCTTCTGAAGCGTGACTTGGTTCCTCAGGAATCACTTGCAGAAGACCATTCAGCGTCTGAGGGCTAGCAATACTGACCCTTCGCATCAACAATCCACCGCATTTTCCCAGGTGTCCTCTGCTCTTCCCGCGCGTGTGAAGCCCAACCAAGAAAGCAGCGGCGAAGGGATCGTGGCCTGCTGTAGTTCTGGAGGTGTCCTCACAGAAAGCCGCGTTGTTGAACGGACCCCTCACACAGCAGACAATGTATCATAGAGGGACAACAAACTGGAGACACCACTTCCTTCCGAAAAACTTCAATGCAAAGGCATGCGCTGCAGGAAGTGCCTCGCAGTAGCAGGCGCCTCTGCTGACGCTTGCGGCACCTCGTCGAATGCCGTCTACACGAGGTGTAGACAGCACGTTTTGTTTTGCACTTCCGGTTCGATCACTGCCAGCCATTGGCACACCAGCTTCTTGCACATACACCATCAGGATTCATCAGGCCCAAAGTGTGTATGAACAGTCATTCAAACGGTTTCATGCATGGCAGTACTAGGTAGCGGCATCTGCTCCACCTACTACTGAAAGGCAGCTACTGGCATCTAGGACCTAGGAGGTCCATGACCGTCGAAGCACCAGCGTGACCACCTCCGAATCGCCCTTCGTCGGGTGGAGCCCTGCAAGATGCGAGATGGGAGGGAGTCTGTCATTTCTAGTCCACGCACTGAGAGGAGGCCTTCGCCTGCATCTGACCCAGGGTCTCTGCGAGCTGCATCTCCTTGCTGTCTCGAAGGTTCGACTGCAACCTGCAGAGGGCGAACTCGCATATGGCGGACTGTCTAGCTAAGTCAGCTGGTCGAAGATCGCACCTGTACAGCGCCCGTCGCGCAGCGAAGCGCCGCAACGCCACGCAAGCTGCCGCTTCCCGCCGAGATCCGCTGGCAGAACTGCCAGAAGCGGCTATTTGCTTGCACGAGTTGTGACTGTTGCCGGTAGTTCTGCGTGCTGACCTTCCTATGGTCCAAGCGAGGGACGAACGACCTTCTGCAGTTAAAGTGAGGACTTGACGCACCACAAGTTATTCGTGATAACCCCGCAAGCCCCGTTCCAGCACGTGCTGCACTGAACTTTGAACTTCCGAACTTTCTGGGCTACAAGATGGCTTCGAGGCCACCTCAACCACCAGTGAAATCCTGAGCTCAGCTGGCGACGAAGCTGCGCGTTCCTCGAGTGAAAACCCAGGGAGGCTCGAAACGAAGCTGGTCCTGATGTCACCTTCATGCTACCGGCCGGGGTTTTGTCATGCATACCAGCAGACCAATGCGCCAGGGCTCTCCAGTGACAATCGCTTCTTGCGTCGAGTGTCCTGCACCCAATGCAGAAGACAAGTCCAAACCTCACACCGGTAAAGTCAGTGGTGCCTCATCTTTGGCGCGGCTCCCGCCGAGGCCCTTGGCGAGGCTGCGGAGGGCCCGGCGGAGAACACGGACGCGGAGGAGCGCACTCGCCTAGCGCAAGCGAAGCCATTCAGATGATCAGCACCGTGTCGGCTGCTTCTGTTCTGAAGCGGTGGCCCTCAATGCCTTCCTCAAACCATGCACCGCCAGCTGTGCCTGGTCAGCAAGCGCCCATCGCTGCTGCCTCTCCAGACACCGCCGGCGCCAGCGGTGAATTGCCAAACGCCGCCGACCTGGGCTGTGACTTCCGCAAACACATGAGATCTGAGCAGGCCTGCCAGTCTGCCCTATGAATGACCGATCTCACAAGCTCTGGCCATTCACTTCTGAGCGCATGACAGTCACGAAATCGTCGGCGATCATTCCTTTCACCCATTCGGTGCATGTTCGCACCTCTTGCTCCATCTCGCTATGCAGATGAAAAAGTACTGAAGGAGCCGCACCAAGCCAGCACGTAGACCGAGGCGCACGGCAGACCCGCCCATTATCCGAAGAATACACTAATTGTCGACCGCATATTAGACAAGATAGAGCGGACAATGCCAACAATAGGTCGCAGCCCCCCCCACCCCTGGTACTCCCCTGCTACACCGGTCACTCCTGCCACTGCTGCCTACCACTAGCACTAGCACTAGCACGAGTACTAGCATTACTACTACTACTACTACTACTACTACTACTACTACTACTACTACTAGTGCGTACTACTGCTACCGTTACTGCTATTGCTACTACTGCTGCAACAACTCCAACCATAACTACTTACAACTACTAA